GCTCCGCCCCTGTCCCCGCGGGCAGCGCCCAGGGCACGGCGCCCCTAGACGCGCCTCGCGGGGGCGCGGGCTGAGAGTCGTGGCCGTGGGCCGCGTGGACGGGGCGGGCGGCGCCGCGCCAGTGTGGACGTGGTGGAGGCGCAGGGGTGAACCGTCAGGATGTCGGGTACAGCCGCAGTGGCCCTTTCTCCCCCGGCTTCCCTCAGCGGCTCGGGGTTTAATTCATTGCTGGAAGCTTCCTAGCCAGCGGAGCCGAGTTAACTCATTTCCCTGGAACGGAATTGGGGGACCCTTTGCAGGGTAACTAGCAGGTCCCCAAACTGCCCATTGCATCCTTCGGAAAGGCGCGATGTGTGGCGTCTGCGGGTAGAAATTCGCCTGTGACCTTGCTTGCCCCCTCTCTGCAGCCAGCCCTACGGGAGAGACACATTTTGGTGACCCTTTGCTTTCCTCTGAATTGTAAGCATGCATTTATTATACGCCGTTATACGTATTATACGTGGGCATGCATTCATTATACGCCGTTAGTGTGTAAGTAACGTAAGGTTTTGCGAGGGCATCTCTCAGAGGAGCCTGGCAAATAGGGGGAGGCGGGATCTTGTCCCTACCCCACACCAGCTGGGTGACCTTGGCCGACACTGGTCCCCATGTGGGGCTCTGTCTCCTGGTCTCTTCTGGAGGCTTGAGCTGCTGATGGCTGTGGTCCCTTCCAGGCCTCTGGTTCAGTGGTTCTGACCAAAGAATGTGTTTACCAGTGAAGAGAGTCCTGCAAATCAGTAGATGACTTGAAAAACGAATTTTATGTCCTCATGTCTTAATTCGTGTTCGTGGCCTTTGCTTAATTAGGTATCGTTCTTCTAAAAGAGAGAATAGTTTATGTGCTGCGTTTCATCTGGCACCCTTGGCTTGCCTGCTTGTGGTGCCAAGCAGGGAGCTGGGTGCTGGGGTTACAAAGAGGAAGGAGACTCATCTCCTGCCCTCTGGTGTTTAGCCTCGCTCTCCTCTTGGTTTATAACTGCTAGTGCTCTTCCATAGTGGGATGCGTGTCCTGAAACTGGAAGAGGAATCCATGTCTGAGTGAAGGAGGACAGACTCAAAAACATCATGGGTTGTGGTTTCACTTGTGTAATCCGGAAAGCTTGACAGCTTAGAAGAATGCCTTACATTTCTGGTCTTAGAGCCGGGATCACCTAAATTCCAGCCAGTGCTTGGACAGGAGACGGCTGTGAGCTACCAGAGCCCTATAACCAGGATGTCATGAGGACTTTTTCTTGTCTGTCCATTGTGTGAGTGCTGCTGCTTTTGTAAAATGAAATGAACCTTAGTTATGATCAGTAGCCATTTCTTCCTCAGGCCAGAAAAGAAATGGGTGAGCTGGGAAGGCGTAAGGGGGTTAAGGGAAGAGTGAGAGGGCTGATAGGCATAAATTCCAAAAACTCACATTTATGACTACCTATTTTGAAGATGCTTATGATTTTGGCACGGACTGCCAAGTTAGCCGCATGCTCTTTGGCAGCAGTGAGGGGAATGTATCTAGCAGGTTGGCTTTTGGGAGGTGAACAGACAATAAAAAGAGGTTCAGAGTTCTCTGTGGGAGTCCATCCAGGTGCTGGGCGGTGGGGCAAAAGTGGTGTGTCTTGGAGCCAGCAGCTCCTGGGAGAAGGATGGAGGTTCATCTTCCACACCCTTCTAGCTCCTGAGGAACGATTTAATCTGAACTGCCTATGGAGGGTTGAAATCGTTCCCAGAGGGCGTGCTGTGTCTTTAGTCTAGCTGGGCAGCGTTGGCAGAATAAAACCGCTGGGAAGATACACAATGATGGTACAAACTTCCTAACTGCTGAGAAAGAAGCTAGGGCTGGATCAGCGTGAATGGCCTAAGTTAGCAAAGGTATTCAAAATGGGGAGGGGGGCACAGATCACCAGCCTGGGGTGGGAAGAAGCCATAAATATGGGTGGTGACATGTGGGCTCCCCAAGGAGAGAGATCCAGCTTAAGCACACATGCGGGGGGGTGGGGCAAGGAAGTTGTATAAGGGAGTGAGAGACAAATGAGGTTAGACGGGTCCAAGAACACTACCACGCTTATCTTACTGGAGAGCTCGTTCTTTCTTTTTCTTTTTCTTTCCTTCCTTCCTTCCTTCTTTCCTTCCTTCCTTCTTTCCTTCCTTCCTTCCTTTCCTTCCTTTCTTCCTTCTTTCCTTCCTTCCTTCCTTTCCCTTCCTTCCTTCCTTCCTTCCTTCCTTCCTTCCTTCCTTCCTTCCTTTGGCATATACAATAGAAAAGTAGACATACTATAAGTGTACTGTTCACAAATTCTCCAAACTGAACACAGCCATGCACTCAGATCAAGAGGCAGGAGCTCCCCATGTGCTCCCTTCCGGTCCCTACCTCCCCGAGGATAACCCGCACCTGACCAAGGATCCTGCAGTGTCTGCCATCTTTCCTCATGAGTAAGGTTTCTGATAGTCACTCGTGACACTGCCTCTCGTTGTAGTGTGCTCACTCTCCTGGCTGATTTTGGTCATTGGGTGAATAATATATCACGTATTTATCTGTGCACTGTTGATGGACATTTGGGCAGTTTCCAGCATTTGGCTATCACACATAACGCTGTTGTGACTGTTCTCGTACCTATCTTTGGTATACATTCCTGATGGGGGTATAATAGGTGCGTGATAAAGGGGTCATGGGTTGTGTGTATACTTAGCTTTGGGAGCTGCAGGCAAAGCTGTTTTATTCCAATTTTTGAATAATTACATTGTTATTAGTATAGTGATCAATATGGTTATTAAATGGTAATTAGTGGTTACTGTTTATTAGTATAGTGTTAGTACACCCTTCTATTAGCTGATGAGTGCAACATTGACTTTTCACCAAGGAGACAGGCAGGAGTCCTACCAGGAGTCATGATCCGTTTCTACCTGGCTATGCCCCATATGCTTTTGGCAAGTGCAGTCACCTCCATGTCCCATTCACCCCTGAGTCAGGCAGCAGGACAGGCTGAGCTGTGGGGAGCCCAAGAACAGTGTTGTCAGGGAAGAATTTCTCTGGCCAAACTGCTTTACCTTATCTCAGCTCTCAGCCTTCTTGCTGCAAACACTTCTGGGAACCTCTTCTCCCTCTGCTTTTGTAATATTGTACTTTCTGTACTTGTTTCTACTTCTCTGACCTGCCTTCTCTGTACTTCTGGATTCTTCTCTGTAATTCTGGATTTCTGTATTTTTGGAATTCCCCCACATCCTAGAGGAGAAGCCCATTTCTTGGTTGGTCTTTTGAGGCCATACAAGATATTTTAGTTCTCTTCTTACGGCATGGAAAAAACATCCAGGATTAAGTTATTGGATGGCTCACCAACTCCTATAACCTAAGAATCCTTCTTTTCCCTTCAAGTTTTTAATATTTGGAATCATAATAGTTAAGTATCATATGATATGACTTGATTAATTCAAAGAGAGAAAATTGATAAAAATAACAAATAAAAAAGCTCTACTTTAGTGGAATAATAGTTCTGCCTTTTGAACATAAGGCTGTTTTTAATACTAAGTGTCATTTTCATAATTAAAGGCTTAAATGTATTGAATTCAGAGCAGAAGTAGTTGTTCTATTGTATGTGTAGAATTCCTTCTTCCCTGGCCACCTTTTCTCAGCTTCTGCTTTTTTATCCTCCTCTGTCTTGTCTTCACCTCCTTTCTGCTTTTCACAAGCATCTTGGTCTCCTTTCCTGTCTAGACTCCAGCAGCAAGAGAGAAAGACAGAGTATGGTACTTTAACAGGTCTGCCAACCCTCTCCTCTCTTTGCTTGTTATTTTCTGCATTCAAGTCCTTAGTCTTCCAGGACTTGGTGGTTGGTGCAGGCTCCTTGCTTATCCTTTCTCTAGACCAGTGCTGTCCAGTGGAAAGATAATCCAAGCCACACATAATTTAAAATTTTCTAGTAGCTACATTTAAAAAATTAAAAAGAAACAGTACATCAGAGTTTCAATTTCTGAATAATATAAGAATTTCTAAACTCTTATGCACCTAATAACACAGCTTCAAACTATATAAAGTAAAAAGTAACAGAAGGATAAAAAAAAGTTGACAAATCTGCCACCATAGTGGGAGATTTTAGCATACATCTTTGAGTAACTGATAGAACAAGTTGACTGAAAACAAATAAGGGATTATTCCAACAAACAATAAGCTTAATCACACTGATTATATAGAAAACATGGTCCCAGCAAGTGAAGATTATACTTTGAGTATATACCTGGTCATGAAATAAGTCCTAACATATTTAAAAGAATCAGTATCATACAGACCAAGTTCTCTGAACATAATGCAACTAAATTATATCCGTTTTAAAAGATGCTTTGAAAAATTTGAAAATTTCAGTTTGAAAATATTTAGATTTGAAAGATTAATAATAATAAACATATATGTCCAAACTTGTAAGATGAGTTGTACACCTAAAAAAACTTGTGAGGTGCAACTAACTTGGTATTTAGGAGGAAACGTACAGTCTTAATTGCTCATATTAACAAGAGAAACGGCA